CAACACTAGAAACAAATTACTTGGACGTTTGAAGTACATACAAATTGTAAATTAGAGATGTTGCCATGGACTAACCCACGTTGGTCTTAGACTCTTAGTAGAACCCTATCCATATGGATCGGTTCATGTCCGGTTTTACCCATCTATGTGGTCATGCGATAAACAAAGCAAAATAGATGGCTTTAGGTTTCCATTTACGTTTGCTATATTTTTTTTTTCCAAATGAATCCACAACCTTGAAGACGTACGTCAAATGTAAACGGAAGGAGAATTTTCCGTTTTCGTTTGTGTATGCTTTTGAATTTTACAAAATATGGAAACAGTGAATTTCCATTCAAACCTTTAAGAGATTTGATAGAATTCTGGTAAACATAATGGATCGGGAGATCTATCATGTCTAGTAGGGTTGGGCCGGATTGGGCTTGGTTGGGCTAGGTTAGGCCATAGATCTTTGGTACATGACATTGTAGTTACATATACAATAAGCTTGGATAGGTTATTTATGTGTTTGGTTTTATATGATGAAGCAAGAAGACATAGAAGAGAAAGCAAGAGCAGAGCTATGGCGTGAAGAACTTATTGAAGAAATTGAACAGAAGGTTGGTGGTTTAAGGGAGCTCGAAGAAGCTGTTAATAAGTAGCAAACTAACTTGTAAATGATAAACCAATTTACATGTACATGTTTCTTTGTTATAACGGTCATAAAAACCATTATATGCTCTTTCTATTTATATAATACTATATGTTATCTGTTTCTTTGTTGTGTTGTGTTATTAATCATTGAATGAACATGTTAGGAGCAATCGTCTCCTTGCGATTTTTGTCTCAAGAACTTTTAAAATGGCAACGAATTCCTTTCTTTTTATAAATAATTACCCAATTTGGGATATAAACTAATTGGTCGTGTGCACTGGAGAATGAGTCTGATGAGGAACTTGAAGCGGAAAATACGCTTTTGCACGATTTTATCTGTCTTTTAACTGACGAAATAAGTATACTGCAAACTTTTTTAAAATTATGAAAATAACAAAAACGTTAGGAGAAGAAGGAGATCGAGCTAGTCATGTCTTTGTCAGTAATCTTCGTGCGACCATGATTTTCAAAGTCTTTTCTAGCTTGTAGTTCACACGTGTGG